GATTGTACGGGCTGCTGGGGTCGTGGCACATGTTCCACTCTGAGCAGAACGAAGCGAACGCTGAAGATCTGAATTGCGGCCCACCATCCGTCGTGAGGCGCGTAGGAACGCCAACGTCCGACATCCACTGAACGAGATGTTTGGTGACGTCAGACGTGGTAGCCGACCTCCCACAACGCCCAACAAATGGCCAGCCGGAAAACTTGTCGGTGAGAACCAGGTACTCAAAGCCGCCTAGGGAGAAGAGGTCCGCCGCTGCATCTTCGAACGGTCTGGACGGACGACTGTCAGAGAGGAGCGGCTCAGAAGGTTGGGAGGGGAGCAGCGTGACGCAGGATCTGCAGGTCTGGACGACGTTCTTAACGTCGTTGGAGATCTGGGGCCAGTTCACTGCTTGCCTGGCCCTGCGGAGTGTGCGGGTCTGTCCCTGATGAGAAGCGTGAAGTTGCTCCAGCGTGGTCTGGCGTAACCTTCTGGGAACCACAATACGGTGGCCGAACAACACTATGCCGTCCTCGACCGACAGATCATGCCGAACCTCCCAGTACGGGTGCAGATCGAGGTCCAGAGCAGCCTTGTCCACCGGAAAGCCGTTCTTTATGGCGTTCAGCAGCTTGAGGCATTACGGGTCCGTCGTGCCCTCCGTCCCCACCTTCGTAATGCCAAGGTCGGGGAGGACTGTATGGCCTGTTTCCTCGTCCTCTTGCGACAGCTGACGGAGAACACAGTAGCAGTGCTCGATTTCTTCCTCACCTGCTTTATCGTCAGGGTCTGGTGCACTTACTGGGTGTCTCGACAGGCAATCTGCGACCTTGTGATCGGCACCCAGTCTCCACTGAGCCACGAACCGAAAAGGCGTCAGCTTCTCCCGTAGTCGCACGATTCGTGGAGACGTCAACTCATCCAGCGTCTTAGCATTCAGGATAGGAATGAGCGGCTTGTGATCGACTAGCAGCTCGAAATCAGCACCGGCCAGGAACAGTCTAGCCTTGTGGACTGCCCAGACTACCGCCAGCAGTTCAATCTCCGTTGCAGAGTACCTGGCCTCGGTCTCAGTGACGTGCCGTGAAGCACATTGCACTGGACGCCACCGCCCGTCCACTTGCTGTTGCCACTTGCTGCTGCCACAGTGCCATGCAGAGACCGAGGCATGACATGACATGGCATGGCATGGCATGACCGAGGTTTTTTACGAGTTCTTATATTTCCTATACTGACCAAGTACGAAGTCAATATTAGATTTATCATGACTAGCCATAGCATGTGTTCAATCGCTAAAAAGGAGTCAAATATAAGCGGTCAATATAGCCCTAAGGTCCAGTAAGGAGTCAAATATGCAGGAATATTTGACTGCTTAGGTATGGCAAAAATCTATGTGAGTCAATACCAAGGGAGTGATAATATAGTTTATCACTCCCTTAGTATTGACTCACATAGATTTTTGCCATACCTAAGCAGTCAAATATTCCTGCATATTTCACTCCTTAGGGCTATATTGACTGCTTATATTTGACTGCTTAGGGGTTGCGCAGTTGAACGGTGCCTAGTGCAGCATTGTCACTGCATGCGTAGGTGGTGGTGCAACGGTTGTGCAATCATAAAACCGGGTCCGGGATTCATGAGGTTATCGTTCTGGAATTTGAAATACGGACTGTTTGTCGTGATAAATCTAATATTGACTTCGTACTTGGTCAGTATAGGAAATAAAAACCTCGTAAAAGACCTCGGCTTCGCCTCGGTCTTTTACTCGACTTTTATTTCCTATATTGACCTCGTACTCAGTCAATATTAGATACGTATGTGAGAAAGGTAGTGGCAGATGAGTGTGATACTGTGTGAATGAATGTATGGTGCGTGTGTATTACTTGAAGAGTGTGAGTGATACAACGTTTTCTTTCTGTTTACATAGCACAGGGATGCAAACTTCGCTTTTTTGTGCTTGCTGGCTGGTGTATTTCTACCTGAAACCATATTAGCTACATGTATATAAGTGTGTGTTTTAGTTATTACATTTTTATGTGACGGCGTTCCACTGATGACAGTCACAAGAAAACGTTATGGAACTTGACTTTCTTCATTTTTTGCTGTTGTTATGAGTGCACAATTTATCTTATTTATTGCCATTTTTGTTTCAGGATCGATGTTGACTTGGCCGTAATGTTTCCTTCTGAGCCAGTTATACATGTACATGTACATGTATGTCTTGTCATGTTTGGTGATAAGTTTGATTCGTTGTTTCTGGTCGTTCTCAGAAAGGAGCACTGAGAAACGAAGGAAGTCATGAGATGACAAAAATGTACGTGCACGATCATACAAAGACCTAAACTGGGAACTTCGTTTCTCAGTGCTCCTTTCTGAGAACGACCAGAAACAACGAATCAAACTTATCACCAAACATGACAAGACATATAACTGGCTCAGAAGGAAACGTTACGGCCAAGTTAACATCGATGCTGAAACAACAATAATAAACTTCACACCATTGGCACTATTGCCATTTTATTATTATTATTATGGTATGCTTAATATGTACATGTACATGGATATGAACGTTTTGCTAGAGCGGTAGTGAATGGCATACAGTAGTACCGCATTTACCATGTGTTGCTGAGTACAAGTACAATCCATGACATGTACACGCACACAAACATACATGTAGTTCCTTCACAACAACTGTAGAATGTACTGCTGCAAAAAGCTGGCCAGGTACACCATGTACACAGTTTGATCAGGCTGCTGGTGTGACATTAAAATTTTGACACCTCTTAGTAGCATGCATTGCAGTGTAAGGGTTAGCTGATCTGCAAACACAACCTGTGATCTACACCTAAACACACTCAGTTGCTGAAGACTGAAGTGAAGGGATCTAGCACCGTACACGGCGTAGTAGATTGTACACTTCCAGAAAATGTGCGAACTGTCATATTTCTATTCGAAAAGGGCCCTACCCCCCTACCCCAACTTGAGGCTTTTTTATTTTTGTTTTCCGCTGTATTCATCAGCTTACAAGTTCTCTTCTTTCCTCAATATTCACCCTCCAGTCGGCTGCTACAAGTAAGTGCAAGTACTTGCACCGAGAGGCGCACTAGAGGGCAATCATTCTCTTCACTTTCTTTGCCCGCTGCTACCACTAGATATGGCATGTTCTCTATTTCTTCCCTTGGCGCTGATAGGTGGAATTCTCTGCCTGTCTCGTGTCGTCAGGTTGAGCATCTATCCGTTTTTGTTTCGCTCTGTGAAGAGCACTTAGGGTTCCCTGTAACAAGACGGCAACGTCTGTAGGGCCTTCCCTATCAAAATAATAAATTCTACTACTACTACTACTACTACTACTACTACTACTACTACTACTACTACTACTACTACTACTACTACTACTACTTCTACTACTACTACTAGGCTTTTCCACATTATGTTTTGCATAATTTTTGCATCTTGGGGGTAAAAATGAATCCCCGTTGTAAAAATGCATCTTTCGTGATTTTGCCAGATTTTCTTCAAAAACAACAACGTTTGCGTGATTTTGCAAGATTTTCTCAAAAAATAACAAATTTGACGTGATTTTTGCCAGATTTTCTTCAAAAACAACAATTTTTGCAAGTGTTAGCTAAACTTTATAGCCTACACTGGCTACAGCCATACAGGCATTTTATTCTGCTGGCAAGACTTGACCTTGCCCCGCACCTGACGTAACCTGACAGTAGGCTGACTCTTGTCAGTCTCGAAATATGCCCTGCAGGCGCGGCATGCAGTGCATGATGATGTGCATGCATGCACGGGTACATGTCCTGTATGTAGAGTTCCCTGATGCCAACATGTGCGGCTTCGAATCAGGGAGTCGTAAAATACCGGTATTTTACGACTGACTGCTTCGAATGAATTTGGCAGCCATCTTGTTGCCATGGCAACGGGTGAATAATTTTCGCACATTGGGTGATTTTTTGAATTTTTTTAGATTTTTTTCAAATCTATCCATTTTTGAGAATAGCATCATTCCCCCAAAAAATCGAGTTTTACATCCACATCTTTCCAATATTTTTTCGAATAATGTGGAAATGCCTAACTTACTACCCCCGTTTCGAAATGCGAATGACTGTTGCATTCTTCCAAAAATGACGTCACAGAATTCGTAAAAAAGACAACTTTTGTCGCAAGCGGCTAGCCTGTCGCGCGCGCGCGTGAGACTCATCATGATATGGGCGCGCTGGAGCTGCAGCAAATGCGAAACGCGACACACGAGCGCGACCCAAACTGTGTCACGTATGTGTCGAATCTGACAGTGATGTCTGATGATCGCCTTCGATTATTTATTTTCGTTCTACTCGACAATTCCAAAAATCAGTGCCATTGGCTTTAGCTTTGCCCTTGGACTTGAAATCTCGTGCCTTATTCTTTCCTGGGGACTGGTGTTGGATATTGAACGGGCGGAGTTACCGCCGGGATGATGGATGAAGGAGATGATGGCCTAAACTTGGCTGCGCGCATTCTCATTTTCGCGTGGCCTGCCACTAGTGTTGCGCAGATTCACAAAGGGTGTCACAGGCATAGCTGGAGGAAGAAAGGTGAGAGGATCGGTTGCACAGTACAGATCAACCCAACCATTTGGTTGTTTTAATTTTACTTCGCACAGTCAAACGGGATGACCACCCAATAAAATTTCCGAACGTGACATTTTTTTAATTTATTAATTTTCCTGCATTATACATCAGGTCACGGCTTGTTTGACTTTGTCCGTTAGGCCGTGTTTGCATAGATATTGTGATGGCGTCAAAGACAGTTAAAGATGTTGTTGGTCGTGTGTCGGGGGTATTGTCCCCGCCGAAACTGAATGCAAGTTTAAGTAAGACTAGGTTTAGTGAGTTATGATCAGAAGTGTCCTGTGGGTCTAGCCCTCAGCCACTCTGCAGATCTGTGGCAAGCAGTAAACTACATTTACAGCAAAAAGCGCAAAACAAGACTTGATTTTTTAAGCGGCTCTTTTCACCATGATAATTATTGGACACGTGTTTTGAAAATTTGAAATACTCATGGCAACTGGTGAGTGAATCATTCAAAAATGCAAACGTGCCCGCTGTTGAGTGCAGCCATGTGAATCCACACAGTCACTTTTCCCGTAAATCACTCGCCGTAAAACGTGCAAGTGGCTGTCGTGTGAATCGCCTATCACCGACTGTCCACAGTTGTCGAAGTATTTTCCAGCACTCACTGTACTTTATTAGAGAGGTTCCGCATAACGTAATTACGTTAGTTAAAAAATGTAGTCGATCTATGGAAAGTCTTACGTAAACTGCATGCGCATCTGGGTTCCGCCATACGGAGTTTTCAAATCATGGCAGACTCAGCGGAGGACGTTCAGGTTGGTTGGAACTCTTGAGTTTCATGTCGTTAGGCAATCATCAAACAACTGATACTCGGGTCTACCCAACAGTGAGTCAGTATGCTTATAAATGCATAGGGCCACAAGCATAAACAAATTTAGCGCTAAATCTGGTGTAAGGTATGGGGAGAACAGCTGGCGCGGGCCACGGCGCGACATTAGAAGTGCCAGGAGGGTGGCGGGCAACAGGCAGGTGTGAGCATGAAAGCGCGGAAAGAGGCGATGGGGAGGCAGTGTACAGCAGATGGGTGGAGGTGCCAGGAGGATGGCGGGCAATGGGCCAGTGAGATCGCTAGGGGGTCTTTGGATGATGGGCAGGCGTGGGCGTACTATTGACATCATGGATGTGTCCTCACAACAAGGCTCCACCATGAGCATGGCAAACTTTACAAAGTAAGCCTTTCAGTGCAAGTCTTGGTGGCATGGTGTCTTTTGGGTGTTTTCTTAGGTTCCAAGACACGTGGAGCTACATTGTGTGTGTGTTTGTGTGTGTGTGTGTGTGTACGCGTGCGTGTGTGCGTGTGTGTGTGTGTTTGGCACACGCCATGTACTCTCTTGTGCCGGACTGAGGTACTACACGAATGCGAAACGTGACAAACTCTACAACGTCATTAGCCTGGAGTTCACCAAGACTAAGTTGGAGCCTCAAGTGGAGTCACCCAGTCTGGTACGTCATCAATCCTACATACACTTGAGAGGATGAAAAACGTTTCTGCTGTAACTCTGAGTTTCACGGTTTTAACCGATCATCAGACAGCAACTTGGACTACAATTTTCAGAAGATATGATTGCTATAGGCTCCAATCAATCAATCCTATGCATGGAACGTTACATGTAGTACACTCTTATCTGTTGTATCCGGGCGGTCCGGGACCGGGGGCTGTGCCCTTCATTTGGAAATGTTCGTAATCACGTACATCTTGATGTGGAAGGCACGTAGATCTGGCATATTACGTCACTCCTGGTATTTCCACAAATTGGTAGAAAAGTAGTAATATATCCACTAAAACTCACTCACAGGGTTCCCCGTAGACCAAGATGCCCGTAACTTGGAGGTCCGGATAGGAGTCGTGAGAAATGAGTGCACTGTAGTTGAGCACTCCACTGCACTACTGTCTCCCCTGTATGCCGTGTTGGGGGGTTTGGTGGGCGTTTGAGGCTCATGTCATACATGATCATGCTTAGAGGCTCGTTTTGAGAAAGTATGGATTTTTAACTCCTGATTGGTTTGTGCAATGTGTTTATATTGGTTTATCAATGCCCCATCACAAGCTGTATAGTATGTATTCGCAATCGTGTACGACTTGCTCATTTGTCTCTTCTTCTTCTTACTACTGCTTGCTTGCTGCGGCTGCTGTTGCTGCTGTTGTTGTTGTTGTTGTTGTTGTTGTTGTTGTTGTTGTTGTTGTTGTTGTTGTTGTTGTTGTTGTTGTTGTTGTTGTTGTTGTTGTTGTTGTTGTTGTTGTACGCAGGTACGTCATTTGGATTGGGTGGACTTGGTGTGGCCGGAAACATTGCGCGCTTTGCAGCAGGAGGCCACCAACCGACTGGTCGACATGAAATATCCCAAAGTGCAAAAGTATGTATTTTGTTTGTTCCTGTTGATGGTGCTGCTGCTGCTGCTGCTGCCGCCGGTGTTGCTGTTACTGGCCGACTGCTGGTGCTGTTGATAGTACTACAGGTGTAGCTGCCCTATTGCTGGTGCTTGTGGTGCTGCTGCTGTTGTTGGCTTACTGATTGTGCTGCTGTTGCTGTTGCTGGCTGCCCTACTGCTGGTGGTTGTGCTGGCGCTGCTGTTGCTGGTCTACTGTTGTTGTTGGCTTACTGATTGTGTGGCTGTTGCTGTTGCTGGTCTACTGCTGTTACTTGTGCTGTTGCTGTTGCTGGCTTACTGATGGAGCTGCTGTTGTTGTTGCTGGTCTACTGCTGTTGCTTGTGGTGATGCCGTGCTGTCACAGGTACTGCCTGATGAGCGTCGGAGGCTGCTACACAGATTTCCGTATCGACTTTGGTGGCACATCCGTCTGGTATCACATTCTCAAGGGTGGAAAGGTCAGCATTCGCTGTCTTTTTGTCTGCACGCCTGTCTGTTTTTGTGTCACACACATGCACACAGTATATAGATGGACGATGGGTGTAGATACAGACATACATCTGTCTGTATGTCTGTCTGTCTGTCTGTCTGTCTGTCTGTCTGTCTGTCTGTTTATCTTTTTGTCTGTCTGTCTGTCTGTATGTCTGTCTGTCTGTCTGTCTGTCTGTCTGTTTATCTGTCTGTCTGTCTGTTTATCTGTCTGTCTGTCTGTCTGTTTATCTGTCTGTCTGTCTGTTTCTCTACCCATCATCCATCCGCACTTGTATGTATATGTCGTCAGTTTAATCCGACGAACTGTTGCTCTCCTCGCCACTCCACACAACAACAAAAGACTCGTGCACACTGGGAGAGAGCGTTTTCTCTAACTTGCTTTCAGTAAGGTGACTGGAGAACTCATGGTTATCAGACAACTAACACTGACAACGAACGACGGACGACTGACACTGAGACAAGACTAGACAACAGAATATATTAGATTGAAGGCGTACAACGGGGACAAGACGAGCAAGTGTGTACCAACGGGGACAGAAGACGGTGCAGCCGCATGTACGCAGGAGTCAAAAACAGCGCAGCAGCATGTACCACGACTCAGCAGCATGTACAACAAAGAGACACAAGCGCAGCCACATGTACGACAAAGAGCTACACGTGCAACCGCATGTACAACGAAGAGACACAAGCGCAGCCACATGTACAACACTATCCCCCATCAAAAAAAAACATCCACTCCTGTGGATGGAAGCAATCAAAACAAAATAAGAAGAAAGACAGAAGAAAAAGAAATCAAATGTGAACAACATGCACAGGAGAATAGAAACAAAACATGCAGGGCCAAAACAGTAACTTGTATTCGATTTCGAATTTTTTCAAATTGTTTTGCGTTGGGTGACTCTGGTCCCGGCAGGGAGTCCGCGGAACCTTGTTCTCTTGTGCTCGAGTGTGTAGAATAGTCTTGCTGCTCGTTGTACGTTCGCCCCGTTATGTTAGTTGTTCCTGGGTCGCTCTGACTACCCTGTACTGTACTGTGGTGTGTATGAAAATTTCAAACTTCTGTTCGTGTGCTACGCGTTCGAATCTGGAACTTGTTTTTGCTTGCTCGTCGTGCATTCAGCATGGGTAGCTTTGATCTCATCTTGTGTTGTGCACTTGTGCTTGTCACGGAGTTGCCGTCGGACTGCTCCGATATTGTGACTGTGTCGCGTGATTTGTTTGGATGTCCACCTGAACGTTCTCGAGGTGCTGCCTCGTTTGTAGTCGATCCATATTGTTTTGTTTCGTGTTTCTACCGTTTCACTAGTACTAGTAGTAGTAGTAGTTTCTCCATGTTCCGTGCAGAGCGTTGTCAGGCTCGGTCATGCACTGTGCACCCAGTCGGAAAGCTGGTGGCTTCCGCTTTGGTGGGAGGTGTGAACTTCATGTAGGATTCTCGTTTCGGATCCAGGTTGAATTTTTTTGTGAGCGTATGGTTTTGTAATAATTGTGTTTCGGCATGTGGGTCTCTCGAGTTCGTTTGGGTGGGCGTTTGATCATGGTGAGCCACGGTCTGCAGGGATCCTGTGTTTTGTTGTATCGGTTTGCCTTGCGGGTGTTATGGTTTCCGCGTGTTGCTGGTTGGCCCTTGCGCGCCCCAGTCGGTCCCTGACAGTTTTTTTTCTTCGGTTTTTTGGTTTTGCGAAGCGGATGTAGTTCCGTGTTTTTCAGGTTCGATCCCTGTGGGTTTTCAGGTTCAATCCCTGTGGTTTTTTCAGGTTCAATCCCTGTGGGTTTTTCAGGGTCAATCCCTGTGGTTTTTTCAGGTTCGATCCCTGTGGGTTTTTTCAGGTTAGAGACCTGTGGGTTTTTTCAGGGTAGCGCCCTGTGGTTTTTCTTCATTATCTTTTGCGTATTGGTAACCGATTTGTTTGTGTGTCCTCAATGGTGTCCTCACTGATTAATTGCTCCTGTTTCAGTCGACGTGTTCTTCCTGGCTTTTCTTCCCTTCATTCGTGTGCTTTTCTGATTTTCGGCGATGGCTGAGATGTTTGCATCAGTCCGTGTTTCTTTCTGTGTGTGTCTTTCTGTCTCTGTGAGCTTTCGTAGCCCCATCGGCTGCGTGATGGTTTTCCGGACAACTCCTGTGCTTCCAGATGCCTGGTCACCCGGTTCAGCTGCCGCGGTCTTCGCAGTGCCATCGGTTTGCCTTGGCTTCGTACCAGGGCAACGTGGTTACTTCCTGGCGGCCCACGCCTGAAAGTATGGCGGTTCCCTCTATGGGTGGGCCCGGTCTGTTTTCTTTTCACACATTTGTGCCTTGGCTTTTCCCCGTTGTCCGGAGTTACGTCTCTTACTGTTTTGGCCCTGCATGTTTTGTTTCTATTCTCCTGTCTTTCTTCTTATTTTGTTTTGATTGCTTCCATCCACAGGAGTGGATGTCTTTTTTTGATGGGGGATAGTGTTGTACATCTGTCCCTCCAGGAACTTGCGATTCCGCGGCCGCGTTGTTTTCCGCGATTTGAACAAAAGTCCGTGATATCCGCGATATTTGAAAAATCATCCGCGTTATTGTAGAAAACTGTCCTTGATACTTGAAAAGCACCGCGATATTTTGAAAAGCCACCGCGATATTGGGGTCTTTCTTCGATGTTCTTTAGTTCTTCAAGCTCGTCAGTAGTTTACTTGTGAGATCGACACCAGAATATCGAAGTTTCTGGGCAAATCAGCGGCTGACAAGTCACGAAATAGGGCTCGCGTCGAGTGTTGTCCGAGGATGGAGGAAAGCTGTCTTGCAGTTGAACACAGTCAGCGCAGCACACGTACGTTCTGCTTTGTCATGCATGATTTATGCTGTACGACTCGTACATCGTACACCACTACAGTACAAGTACCAAAATCGGCCGCAATTTCCGCAATTTTACCACATTAATCCCGCAATATTTGACAAAATCCGCAATATTCCCCGCAATTTGTGGCATTTTACCTCGCAACTTTTTCCGCGATATTTCCGAAATGTCTCCGCAAGTTTCTGGAGGGACAGGTACATGTGGCTGCGCTTGTGTCTCTTCGTTGTACATGCGGTTGCACATGTAGCTCTTTGTCGTACATGTGGCTGCGCTTGTGTCTCTTTTGTCGTACATGTGGCTGCGCTTGTGTCTCTTTTGTCGTACACGTGGCTGCGTATGTGTCTCTGCTGTGTTGCCACACCTGCCGACATGTCGGTAGACTGCCGATTTTGGAGGCTTGTCAGGACCTGCCGACAATTGACCTTCTCCTGCCGACAATAGCCCTGAAAAGTCCAATTTTGACCTTCTTGGTCTAGAAAACATGGTTCAGATTTTTTTGTTTTTTCTGATCATCACGAGTATTTTCCATAGACAGCTCTCTCCTCAGGTGCTAAGCGATATCATCGTCTGGCTCGAGAAAACCTGGAGTCATCAAGCAAAGTAGCTTTTATCCAACTGAACAAGACCGGGACACTCAGCCTTCGAACAATTTGAAGTTCGATCGGACGCTCTGACTTTTGTCAGTACGACCGTACTCGACTCATACGCACTGCACTTGCACTCGTGCCGGTGCACCGGCATGCGGCAGTGCATGCATGCACACGTAGATCTACTCGTAGATCTACGTAGTCGACTAGTCGTAGTGACTGTGTGCAGTCACTGCAGTGCCCCGCATATCGCGCATGCACTCGGCCCAGTGCATGCAGTGCATGCACGCGGCCCTGTGCATGCAGCGCCAGTGCCAGTGCAGCCAGCGGCATGCGGCAGTCAGTGTGCAGTGATCCGTAGATCTACCCGTCGCGCTTTGGATCGCATCCGGATGCTAACTGGGCCAGTCCGATCGAGCGTGGGCCATGCAGTAAGTCTACTTTTTTTTGTAGAACTCTCTGTACTGTAGCAGTGTCTGTACACACTGTAGGTCACACGATACGTGGATAGTCGATACCCGATACTCCGATAGTGCTAAGTGTGTCTTTCTTCTTTCATGCACTGGCGCCATGGCACAAGTCATAGATCTACATGACATACATTGTATGCTGTGTTTGCATGCATGCACCAGGCTGTATACAACGAGTCATGTACAATCAGACTGATGAGTGATGTACTGCATGCACTGCTACGCGATCCGGTGCATGCACAAATAATTCAATACAAGTACAGTAGTCAATAGTGTAAACTGAGACTTTCGCTGACTGTTCATGCGGTACTGTATTCTGTAGATCTAAATAGACTGAAATACTAGTAGTCACTACGTGGCAGTGCGCATTTAGCCTCTTGTCCTAGCAATAGATCCTGTCAGTGCTTTAGTCTAGACCATCTTATTCTACATGATGCAGACAATCATTACCGGTATTCATAATTCTGCTCGGACAAGCCCGTGCCGGTAACACCATTGGCATTCGCAAAGTCGAATACAGTACCTCGAGCCCTTCAGTCACGCAGTGGTGTCCCGCCCTGGCCATACATGATTCAGTCGTAGATCTGTCTCGCTTGCTTGCAACGCAGCTAGCCAAGAGGAGCAAGAGACGTCGCCCCTCCACGGCTCCAGACGTACGACCTGCGAGGCGAAATGGGTGCCCCGCCCTGTCACAGTACCGGTAATACAGTCATGTTCGGTACGATTCAGTCACAGGAGTCGACTCGTATGACTTGCGGGCTTGGAACACAGCTAGCCAATCGTCTTCGGACATACGATATCACCCGCGATGTGAAAAGAGCATCACACACGTACACTGCCACTGGATATGTCGCCCATTGTCGGTATGATGCAGCCCACCAGGCGCAGGTGTACTGCACCATACTGGCGATGAATAGATCAAGGCAGGAGTAGGACTTTTGTGGTGAAAACAGCAACCAAAAAAACATGCCAATGATGCAGCGCGCTGGTGCTCTGCAGCGTATAAAGGCGGAGTTGTGTCCTTGTGAAAAGTACCAGATGCCGGAGCAACGAGACTTCTTCTTCCTCTTTTTGTTTTGAGTCGGAGGTGATGTAGTTGACTTGTGTAGCGTAGCGTGCTGAGAAAGAAATACCGATAGTTTGCTTTATCAGTGTGATGTCTAAGTCTGACTCTGACGGGGAAGACTCCCCGCCACGTCCCCTAGCGAAAAGGAAGAGAGTAAAATGGTCCCAGGCTTACATGAAGGAATGGGAGGCCGAACCGGAGTTGTCTGGCTGGTTGACAAAATCCAAGCGGACTGAAGGAAAGGCCTTTTGCATAGTCTGCTGCTGCGACCTTAGTTATCACAACGGCGGAGTCGCTGACTTGAAGAAGCATGCGGGGCGGGATGTCCACAAGGCCAATGTCCGAAGTCGGGAACTGCATGGAGATTTGCGCAAGGTGAAAGCTGGCCCGAAGCAGCGAGATGCCATGTCAGTGGCATGCAGCAACGCTGTTTTGCAGCTGGGTTTTTTCCTCGCTGAGAATCATCTGGCAATTGCAACTGCAGACCGCTTGACACCGCTGATAGCCGCTATGTGCCCGGATTCGAAGATCGCTGCAGGGATGAAAGCTGCGAGGACCAAGATGACGGCCGTGGTGCACACAATTGCGGAGGATATGCACTCCAACCTCCTCCAGATACTACGAAGATCGTACTTCTCGATCATGCCCGACGAGTCCGCGGATGTTTCTGTACAAGAGCAAGTGGCTGTTGCGGTCAGAGTGTTCAACAGCGATGAGGGCTGTGTCCGAACCTACAGCCTAGGCCTGCGTCCCGTGGACCAAGCCAATGCAGAGAGTATTTTCGGTGTCATCTCGTCCATGTTGGAAGACGGTGGACTGAGCTGGGACAATGTCATTGGGTACTGCTCGGACGGTGCCAATGTCATGCGAGGGTCACGCAATTCTGTTATGACCCGGATCCTTGCCAGGCAGCCCCATGCGTACACCCTCCATTGTGTATGCCATGTTGCACAGCTGTGTGCACAAGCTGCGTGCGATGCCCTGCTACCGGATAATTTCCAGGACTGGCTTCAGCGTGTGGCGTACTTCTTTGACCGGTCTCCAAAAAGAACTGCCGCCCTGAGGAAGGTGCAACAAGAGTATGATGTCAAGCAGCACAAGCTAGTCAAGCCTGCGCCGACGAGATGGCTGAGCCTGCATGCATCTGTAATGCGGATGCTGGAGCAGTGGGAGGCCTTGCTCCACTACTTTCAGTCGTGCCCGGATGTCTGCCAACTGCAAAACGTAATGGACTGGGTGTCATTGATGGAGCGACCAGAAACGAAAGCGTATTTGCTGTTTCTGGGAGAGGTTCTCCCATTGTTTGTCACATTCAACCTCAGTTTCCAAAGTGAAGACGTGAAAGTTCACTTACTTTCAAAGTCCCAGGCCCAGCTGCACAGAAT